TCCCTCATCTTACCAGCTCTACACCTACCTCCCACCCCAAGGTTCTTAGGCATCCCAATTCTTTTGTTTTGATCAGTTCCCACCTTGGAATTGGGAGTATGACCTTATCTTCAGAAGGTAAAGCTGGTCCAGAGGTAGGAGGCAATAAGGGGAGATTTCAAGCATCACAGCAGGCTCTTGGAAGTCTTTTGGGAATAGGAGCTCTCCTGGGAACACCAACTTTACCCAGGTGAGTGGCTTTTTACTGCACTTGCCTCTGGAGTCTAGAAGGAAGATGGGGGACTAATGTCAGCATCCAGCTCCTGGGGAGATGGAGAAGGAGGTCCCAAGGCTGCGTGCCTGTCCTGCTCCCTCCCATAGACCCCTGTCCTCATTCATTCTAGGCCCCACACGTCCCCTCTCCTTCCCAGGACTCAGGTGACTTGGCCTGTCTGCTAGGAAAGTAATTGAATTTCATGCAAGATTAATGGCTCTTGTCCTCAGATGGCACTGCTCACCGGCTCTGCAGTGCAAACCCCCATTTCCCATCTGTGGGGCCAGAGCCAGCCCAGGAGGAGGAGTGGTGAGAGGCTTGGCTGGTGGTAAGGCTCCAGGGTCCTGTCCTGACTGGGTCCAGGAGAAGAGCAATGACTGGAGGAGGGACAAGGTGGGGAGGTTGGACTACAGCCAAGAGCGAGCTGAGACGGGAGCTGGAGCCAGGGTACTGCCCCAGGGGCTGGGACTCACTCTGATAGAGAGCGGCCTGCCCTGGGCAGGGACTCCCATATGGCAAAGCTCTTCCCCCTCTCCAGCCATCATTGCCTCCTCGCACCGTTAAATTTACCAAGAGCTCTGATACCCATGATCCCACTCAACTCTCAGGAGAGTCCCGGAAGTGGTGACCGCTCTTAGGTCCATGAGAACAATCTCAGAGAAGTTATCACTTATGCATTCATTTAACAAACATTTATTAAGTGCTTGTTGTATACTAGGAAATAAATCCAGCTCTCCTGATTTAAGGCCAGTGCTCTTTCTACACACTTGCTTCAATATGTTGATTCTGGCTTCCCTCTCCTCCTAAATTTGCCTCCCAAACACTCTCCTTTTGTTGTGGTTTTGAAATGCCTACAAATTCCGTGATACCCCTTTCTTCAAGAAGTGGAGCCTAATTAGGCTCCACTTGAATGTGAGTTGGGCTCTCTTCCAATAGAATAATAGACAGTGGAATAGAAGCGTGCAGTTTTGAAGGCAGCTGGGCAGTAAAAGGCACTGCAGCTTCCTGCTTCTTTTCTTTCTCTCTCTGATCACTTGCTCTAGGGGAAGCCAGCTGCCAGGTCGTGGTCAGACCAATGTAGGAACTGAGGCCTCTGACCAACAGACCTGTGAGTAAGCTTGGGAGTAGGTCCCTCATGTCCAGGCAACGTGGTCACTGCAGCCTCATGAGAGACCCAGAGGTAGATGAGACCTCTTTAAGCTATTCTTGGATTTCTGACCTTCAGAAATTGTGTGAGATAATAAATGTTTGTTGCTGTTGAGTTTTTTAAAGACAGAGTCTTGCTCTGTTGCCCTGGGTAGAGTACAGTGGCATCATCATAGCTCACAGCAACCTCAAACTCCTGGGCTCAAGCAATCCTCCTGCCTCAGCCTCCTGCGTAGCTGGGACTACAGGCGCATGCCACAGTGCTAATTTTTTTAGTGTGCCCAGCTAATTTTTCTATTTTTAGTAGAGACTTTCCTATTCCCAATTCCACTTATATGCTCCCAAGCCTCTGCCCAAGAGGCTGGGACTAGGACCAAGGGCTTGAGGAGCTTCTCGTCCTCTTCCTGCCACAAGAGACAGAGGAGAGGAGCTTCACTGGGGATCTCCCTCCGGTCTGGAGGGGAGAGATGTGTCCACCCCAAGTAGGTCGTGCGGCTGGAAAGGTCCCAAAGAACCTTCACAGAGCAGGAACTGGCACCTCATTGGCTAAGCTTGGGCTCCCGCCCAGCCACCCCACAAGCCTCCTCCCAGGGTGACAGGAGTGCCATTCACCAGTTCCTAACCGATTGGCAAAACTGATGTTTCCAAGCCTTCCCTGGTTTCTTTTCCTTTTCACCAGCTTTCTTTCCCCCAATCTCAACTTTTTAAATTTTTAA